CACATTGGCAACTATGGAAGCGAAAGATCTCTGTTTAGTCACAGGCAGTGCATGAACAGTTGTATCTCAGTCATGTCTAAGAAGGACAGTGGAGATCAGTCCCCTCTCTCTCTGCTTCCTAGGAAGTTCTGCTTACGCTTCTTACAAGTAGTGCGCATGCATTTTGGGTTGCCACCTCTATCTGTTAGGAGTAGGGAGAGAATTACTACACAGCCAGCAGCTTCTCACAGCCTCCAGTCCCTACTAACCCAGCACATCCAGTAGCTGAGCACTGGAAGTCGTTGTCATCCACCATCCAGACCCCTGTGTCTTGAGGGAGGGAGGGTGAGAGCAAGAACTTTCATAACAAATTCACTGTTTATTGAGCAGCATCAAAGTCCAGAATCTCTGAACCTACCAATTCCACAGGCATGTTGAAGCCGGACACTGCAGTGATGTGCAGAGATATCTCAGATACTTCTGAGACCACCACTCCTGGATCCAGGGCAGTACAAGCTGCAGCTGCCCAGAGTCATAATATGATTCTTTTTAACTATGGGGCAATCCAGTTTGTCCTTAAAGTCCGTAGATTTCATATGGCTCGTGACACAGCCTGGTCCATTCTGTCCAGGTGGATGTGTCTGTCTTGCTTCCAGGACCTACTGGTGGTGGTTGCACAGTGCAAGTCTGTTCCAACTTTGGGTTCCAATGTTCCATTCACAGAATAAAGAGATCCTAAAGTCTGCAGTGGGAGTTACTGCTCCCCTGCAAGCCTTTCCTCTTTGTATACATTGGCTGTGAACTCCTCTTCAGCCATGGTGGAGGAAATGGTGGATAACTGCCTGGCCCTGCCAAGAGTTTAAGGCTGGGAGCGCTCTGAACTTGTCCTTCTTCTGCTTTTTTTTTGTTTGTTTGTTTTGTTGTCTGCTGTGACAGGAGATCGATGACTGCCTCGTCCAGGCAAAAGACCGGAGCTACGATGCCCTTGTGCACTTTGGGAAGCGGGGGCTGAACGTTGCAGCCACAGCAGCCGTCATGGCAGCTTCAAAGGTAAAGGTGTGGGTCAGGATAGTGAATCATTGGCATCTCATCTGCATCCATCGCCAACAGCAGCCACTGTGTGGAGGGGGAGAGATGGTGGGGGTAGGGATTCTCTCACTGATTTTGATCATACCTCCCGATCTCCCATTCACCAGCTACGCGGATGCCTGTACGTGTGGTGCATAGCGAACCTATAGGAGGCTGGAAATGAAGGATTAAGACTAGGGTCTGCTTCGGGCCTCTGTTCAATTTTGTATTTCCCATCAGTACCCAGGGAAAGGCCATTTGCACCCCAGTTTTTCAATTGTTATGCTGAATTTTTGAGAAGTCTGTTGGATCTAGTGATCTATAATTAGGGTACCGACAGAAAGCAAATGTGATCTGAAGTTTGTGAAGGCTAAAAGTTCATCCACAAGGCTTACGCATAACATACCTGGTGTTTAATTCTGTGGATTCATGTTTATGTAAGAGTGAATGGAAAGTGGCATTAGTTGCTTTTGGAGAATGAGTAGATATTGGATGAGTTGTCTCATCTGAGGAGGTATATCCTGTACTTTGTTCCTGGCTTAGAGCCAGAACCAGAAAATAGCTGTTATCTCTGTTTCTTTGATTGCATAAAAGCTGCAAGGACTTGATAACTGCATTTTGTGATCCTGCTCTCTGGCCATGGATTATCATGATTTAGGGCAGATGTGCACAGTGACTGTATCCTTGTGTTTTGGGGGCAAGACTTGTATAAAAGATACATCTTTCACGCAGTCAGATACAATGCCTCACACAAAAGGATAGTAAACACGGGCAAGGTGGGTACTGGTATTAGGAAAAACGTGTGAATGGGAGTTGAAGGAAATTATTTTCCTCTGTCAAATGCTTTTCATATGATCACATCATTTTAGTATGCCTTGGCCTCACCTTCTCTAAAAATGCATAATACATCCTTAGGAGGCCAAATACCATCAAGTCTATAAAGCATATTGAATGCAAGGTATTATAGTGGGGGTACCCTGAGAGGTGCCGTGCACATGTAGGACCATAAGGATATGCAAAAGCTATATCCTGTTCCAGTGAAAAGACTTCCCTTTTGCCTGCCAAGCATTGTGCAGTCTGTGACTGTCAAGCCTGGCTCAGTTCTTCTTCTGAACTGTTGCTCTTCAGTGGGGAGCCCCTGCTAACCCAGGGACTGCTGACTAATCCAAACCTGGACTGAAACCTGGGATAAACTTGAAGTTAAGGCAAAGCTGTATGTTATATACCCAATGAAACAACCTTTGTGTGATGCCTCCATGACACTTAACACATTTAGCGCTGCTGTGTATCCTGAAGAAGTCGCACCATGAACATAAATAGGTCTGGGGATGCTTGTTCTGCAGCACTGGCTTTGCTCTGAGCCTCTTCCTACAATGTGCTTCAGGCTCTCTGTGCTAGAGCTGTTTTTAGGACCGAGTGAGAAACTATGTGTGAATCCCGAAGAAACTCTGACTGGGGTTTGGGTAGCTCCTGAGTATGAGAAGCTCGACAGTAGCCCAGACCGACAGTGCCAACCTGTTCATCTCAGGGCTGCCACAGTGTCTTAATCAGCTCTTCAACCTGAACGAACACTCAGCACCACAGTTTTTCTTCCCACTGGGCTGCTTTTGTAGTGTTTTTCTTAAGAATCTCACTGCCTTGAAAAGTGGCTCCAGTGCCAGTGGGAAGCTTAGTAGAAAGAAGAGTATTTAGGGTACAAGGAAGTCATTGTTTTGTATGAGTTAATGAAGCTCCCCATTCAGTCCTGGAAGAAAGTAACTCTGACTTGTGTGATATTGTTGCATGGCACATCTGCCAGCCTAACTTGAGAGAAATCAGTTAAGAGTCCTTCCTGCATGGTACTTTGGGGAGGTGGAAAATGATCTGTTGATATGATTGAGAAGTTGTTATTGGATTAATTGATTTTTTTTTTAAATAACAAAGCAAGGACTGTTCATGTTTTTGCTTCAACCTTGACATTTAAATTACTCAGAATATGTGAGGAAAAACAGGACTCCTGGCTTCCTTCACCACTTCAGCATGTGGCCTCCAGCAAGTTGTTTGCTTCTGCGTGCCTCAGGGTGCAAATCCAAGAGACAGGGTGAGCTGAGCTGACAAATCTCTTCCTCCAAAATGGGGTAATGCTCCTGGCCCTGGTGGTTTACTGTGCACCAGCTCTTTGGACCTCCTCAGGTTATCTCTCGTCTATCAGAACACTAATCCAGAAAGAGGAAGAAAGGGAATACTGTTTTTTGAGCTCATAAATGTGTCTGAAGTGCCTCAGTCAGCACAAGGGAAGGGACAGAACTGCATTGTGAGGAGTATGGCTGGAGGAAAGGAAAGTAAGATCTTCCCTTCGTGTTTGTAGAAAGCAGACAGATTAGCTCTGCTGCTTATGGGACCACACCCTTAATGTATTTACAGTCTTTATGGTGTAATAGTCACAAATGGTTAAAGCATGTTCTTTTCCTCCCCATCTCAGACTGAATTTGCTGTCTTTCGGGTAGGGACAGTTGAACAGCTGTGATCTACAACCTGATGTGCTGCAGTACAGAAGTGCTGAGCTGGGGTTCCTCAGGTATTCAGGATGGGGAAGTGTGATGAGTTGAGTGTAGATGTGTCTCCGTTTAGCTCTCCCTGCTGCTGTGAAGGGAGCTGTTGCCAAGAGCGGAGGGATACAAGCAGGTATGGGTGGTAACACCTTCTGTTGCCCTGGTTTTTAGCTGTTAAATGTATGTCAACGCCCTTACTTGCTCACTTGAGAAGGAGGTATAACAGAGCTAGATTATCCTGCGTGAGAGGAGTTTAAATGGCTAATTATCTGGAAAACACTTTGAGCTGACAGATGCCAGACAAGACTGCAGTGCTGTCCTTAGGGGGAAGTTTCCAGGGAGGGAGGAAAGAGAATACTATTTCTAAAGCTTATCTTGGCTTTCCCAATGTGAAGGTTTAAGGGCATCCAGCTATCCTGTGATAAGTGTTGAGTGTAGATGGGAAAGTGAGTGAGTCCTGAACAGGTTAATCGGATTTCAGCCTTTAACGGATCGTGTTAAAATTGGAACCTATAGTGATGACCATATATTCAGAAGCACTGAGCTCCTGCAGCTCCCATGGAAAATGTGCCTTCTACCAGCAAGTGAGTGTGAGGATGTGTCTTATTTCCTGCTTCACTTAGATTAATGGGCAAGGAAAAGATGCTTTTATATTAGGAAATGGACCCTCAGACTTTGCAAATCAGCATTGTCTGGTGGCAAATACACAGTGAGCTGCTGGGTTGAAAGTATACTCTGTGCAGACCTGTTTTCAGTAAATGAGCTTAAATCTAAAGGCTCTTGTACTTGCAGACATGTCTCCCACTGTGCATAGCCTTGTCCTCTCCTGTCTCTCTGAGCTGTGGTAACTGATCTTCTTGTGCTCCCACAGGATCCGTCATGATCTTTTGTCATTCATGACAAGATCTTTGGACAAGGCCCATCTCTTCATTCTCTATCCATCATGCAGCTCAACGTGGCTGGTTCTCTGATTACTGTTTGTGTGTGACAGGCTGCTACTTATATATTTGCTACAGGCTAAGATGCTGCAAGCTGTGCACAGCCACACATTCCTTGTCGCTGATCCCCTGACCCTTTTCCCTTTCTGTCTTAAGTAGCCTACAGTTTTAGTTAGCCAAGTGCAGGCTTGTCTCTCTTCCGCTTCCTTCTGTTCCCGTACCCTGCTCTGTTTTGTTTTGAAGCCACAGTTGTGCTGGCACTGGCACAAACCTGTGCCAACTCATTTTACAGACTGAGGAGCTGTCAGTGTCCCAAGTACCCCAAGTCTACCCACTTGGCTCACTTGGGTGTTTCCTCTCTCTCTGTAGAGTCTATTTTTGATGCTCTCTAAGCAGACAGAGCGTTGGACATCTGGTCTTATTACCCCTGCTAGGTGCTCAACACTGATCTTTTGCCTGCCCCCAGCAGCTTGTGTCCCCGTCAAGGAGCATAATCTCATTTGGGGCTCTGTAATCCTGTCCTCGTTGCTTGGTCATTCTGTTACACGCTGTAATTTCAAGCAGGTCAGTCCTAAGTGGCAGGATTAGATGGTTGGGCAGTAAATCCTGTTGCTCTTTGTGTGTTTTC